GAACTAAATACAGTTATCAAAGCAGAACAGGAGAAAGACCAAGATTTGAAGCCAATGATTAATTTTCTAAAAGCAAGTGTTGTGCGCCCTGCTTGGGAGAAGATGTCTTGTCTAAGCCCCGTGACAAAGCACTATTGGGCACAATGGGACCAGTTGAAGCTTGAAAATGGTATTCTTGTCCGGAGATGGGAAACTGCAGATGGGAAAGTGACGACTTGGCAAACAGTTATACCGAGGAAGTTACGGGAAATTGTGCTGCATCGATCCCATGATAATTTAACAGGAGGACATCTCAGAATTAGGAAGACATTGAGTTATATACGACAAAGATTTTACTGGATAGGTATGAGGCAAGATGTGGAAGAATGGTGCAGGATATGCAGTACTTGTAGTGCAAAAAGGGGACCAAAGCATAAGGGATGCTCACCTTATGAAGAGTTGCCTATGAATATGTCAGAGTTTGTGGAAGTGTAATCAGAAAGGATGGATGATATTCACCATCAAGTGCGTTCAAACTTGAAAACGTCTGCTGATTCGATGAAGCTATCTTATGATAAGAGATCTACTGAAGTAGCTTTGTACCAGGAGACAAGGTATGGTTGTATAATCCCAGGAAGACCAAAGGGAAGTCTCCTAAGTTGTCTTCTCCATGGGAAGGCCCATATGACATAGTGGATCGTCTCTAAGACGTGACTTTCCGGATAAAATGACTTAGTGGATCGTCTCTAGTACGTTACTTTCCGGATAAAATGTGGTGGGCGAGGTAAGCCAAAAGTGGTGCATGCCAACAGGCTTTGGCGTTATCACGGTCCACGACATTTCACTTGGGTCGAAGTGAACAACAGAACAAATGACGCTGCTGAAGACGTGTCACCTGAAAAAGCCACTGTCGAAGAAGAAACTCTATATTCGGTTTTGAGGAGGGAAACAGTGAAGCCCTTGATGAAGTTACTACCACTTATGTGACTGTTACCAATGATGGGATGTTTCTCAATGAAGCAGATGAACCCCACATGAAGCAGAAGCCAACGAGACGGAAACCAGTACGGAAGAAGATACGTCCT